ATTATTTTGTTTATTATAGTATTGTTATTGTTTTGCTAGTGATGCTGGGTGGGGTTAGTGAATTTATATTTTATTTAATACTGATGCAATAATATGTATGCCGACATGATATATTAATATATTAAATAAGTGGTGCATATTAGCTCAATGTTTTAATATTAAAAAGAATTTTAGGTGATGATAATATTTAAAAAAAAAAAATAGAATCTTAGTTATTGATTTGAATAAATTGAATTAATTTAATAATATAATTAATTTATAAAAATAAAAAATTAATTTTTAAAGGATAAAACTAAAAAACTACAAAAAATTCAAAAGGAAAAAAATATAAATTAAAAGAAAAGGGATAAAAGTGAATAATTTTTTATTGAATGATTAAATTGTAAAGAAAAATAAATTCCACAAAATAATTAAAAGAAAAAACTATTAAAACAATAAGAATCAAATTTAAAAAGATTAATAAATTAAAAATCTTAATTCAAGAATAAAATTGATAAAAAAATATATGTGTTGCCGCTGAAGTATGATCTTTTCCATGTGCTTGACAACTTATATTTTTTTAATTATTTTAAATGACAAATCTACCCCTCAAATAATCCCCTGATAACTAGAAAAAACAACATGAAAACACAAAGTTTCCCTAACACAAGCCTAAATAAATTATGAGATAAAGTTTAATTTCATAATTTCATCATACTAATAATAATGAAAATACACAAATGCCTCCAAAATAAGGCTTAATTAATTATGACATAAATGATAAGGTAGTAATTAAATTGTGAAAAAAAAACATGAAATCTTAAAAAAGCTCATGGCAACAAATATTGAAGTATGTTCTTTTAAGGGCAATTAAAGTTTTTCATAGTTATAAAAATAAATAAAAAATTAATGTACCCCCACTAAAAATGAGTGATAAATGAATCACATGAAAAAAATATTTACCCTTGAACTTAGTCTTCCGACCTAATTTAAGGAAAGAAAGAAAATATCATTTTATTATTATATTCCGATCTAATTTAAGGAAAGAAAGAAAATATCATTTTATTATTATAATTCCTAGTAAATTCTCTCTTATAATAAAATGAATATCTTATGCCCTATGTATTTTTTATGTGTGTGTATATATATATTAAATTAAAAAATATATATAAAAATATCATGCAGAGTTATAAGTTGAAATTGGAGATATCGATGATCTTTTCATTACCAATCAAATAAAATATTCATATAAAAAAACCCAAATCTATCCAGGTAAGTTCATGTCGGGGGATGCTAGAGGACAACAACTGACCATGTGATCATGTTCAGAGATCAAAGGCATGTGCCTTGTCGAAGTATGTTTACCTGCTTGGGAAGTGGATATGCTTTGCGAGGACATGGTCTCGATCTCAATTCTGAAATCTTCTTTTGACTTGGAACACATAAAGGATGAAAATGTGCCCGTGATTATGCCACTAATTCTGTTGGTGGATATATACAATTGGATTTGGAACTGCGTTTGGCACTTAAAGAAAGCATTTCACCTCCCTTCTGGCGCAAAGCCCTTTTTGTCTGTCGAGGATTAGAGAATCGAGAATAGGATCAAATCGGCTTCCAATAATATTTTAATGTATGAATCACGTAAGCATTTCCGGCGTGGAACCTTTGTTTATTTTAAAGATTTTTATATCATTTAAAGTGATTAAGTTTTTTTAAAAAATTAACATGATATCCAAGCCAGCTGATATGTATTATAATTAATTTTATAGATTCTAAAATTAACAATTATATAAATAATTACAGACTTAAAACTAAAATTATAAAAAAAATAAATTTTTTAATTTTAAATTTTTATCATTTGACCACCATCTAAATAGTTATTTTAAAGTAATTAATAGTTATTTTAAACTGATTAACTTGAAAGGATAAGTGCAGGACGCAACTCCACTGCATTTCAATTGTTTCATTAAAATTGAATTTTTCTTTCTGGCGACGTGCTTAATGATCTTAGCACCTTGCTGTGTTCAAATTCTCATCTTATCCCATGTTTATTTATTTATTTAATTTTGGCAGGACTTGGAATTTTTTTTACATGTATACCCTTAGGGCCTGCTTGGATTTTTTAATGGAGTACAGACAGAAATTTAAAAACAACCTAGCAAATTATCCCTCATGAGAGGAGCCAATTGGCTAATTGAACTAGCAAACCAATTTAGGTAGAGTTGTGTAGAGGAAGAATGAACTGTCATCATATGCCAACTCTTATAACGGAAGATTTCAACTAATTACAGGTGATATGCCAAGATTATTGCAAGCTAGAATCAAAGATTTCAACTGATGACAGTTGATATGCCAAGATTACCGCAAGCTAGAATCAAGGATTGGTCTCGTATTTATTTTATTTACAGACTTTCCATACGTGGTGACCCTGTTCTTATATATAAATTAGTTTTTGACAATTAAATAAAATTGTACAAGATTCAAACTAGTGCTTGTTATCTTTTAAGTTGCAATAAACGAGACGAGCCTGAGATAAAAGAAGAGAGAGCTCCAAGTGAGTTTGCTTCACTATATTAACTATTTTGAAACATTATTTAACCTTATATATTCAAATTAAATCGTGATTCAAGTGGTTCTTGACTTGAACTGACGTGAGTTTTAAAACAAATAGAAAAGAATTGATATAGTTTAAGATGGTCAAAACTCAGATTGACCCATGCGTTAGTTAATCATGAGAAAATTCAGTTATAATTCGTTAACTATTTTTTTTAAAATAATATTAATTTTTTATTTTTTTATAAAACAAAAAAAAATTGATTAATTTAAATTAACTCGAGTTAACCCGCTCGATGCACGACTCGATAATTGTCATGGATTAACTCCAAGGTAGGGTCTATAAACAATTATGAGAATAAGAACCTCATTTGAAAAAGAAATTGAGAGGATAAACAAAAATTTTAAATTGAAAGGAAAAATAAAAAAAAATCAAATTAACAAATAAATCTAAAATAAAAAAAATAAAAATCAAAAGAATAAGGATTATAAACAACTTAAAATTTGATAAAAGATTAAGAATTAAAATTAGAAATCAACCATTGAGAGTTGAACTATAAATATCATTAAATATTGAATTGAAGGGAAAAATTAAAAAGAAAAATCAAATTAACAAGAGAATCCAAAACAAAAATAAAATTCAAGAGAATGAGGACCAAATATGAAAAAAATAAAAAAAATAAAATCATGAATCCAATGATAAAATTGAAAAAAAAAAATTAATAAAAAAAACCAAGAATCAAAATAAAAAATCAAAACATGAGAGTCAAACCTAAAACAACATAAAATAGGAGAAATTCAATAGAAAAATCAAATGATAGGATTAAATTGATAACAAAAATAAAAAAAAACTTGATACAAATAAACAAATGATCAAATGTGATTAACTTAACGAATCACACTTTTTTTTTTAATTTTTTGTGAGGGCTGTATATTTTTTAAGGTTGAAGAAAAAGAAAAGAGAAGGGAAAGAAAAAGAAATATTATTAAAGCCCCATTATGTATTGGGCAGAGACATATGTCTGTCCATCATGATAGAGATGACAAATATATTGAAGCTTGTCTTGTAATGTGATGTTCCGCCACTCGAAGGCATTATATGCATTGTTCAAAAGGCATAAATGCCTCTAATTTATTGGCATGTCTGAAACACTCATCAACAATTTTTTTGTTATTTTATTTATGCAAATACCAAATTTTCCTTTACTCATACAATACTAATGAAAAAAACATGATAAAAGATCAAAAAATATCTAAAGCTTAGGTATTGATTATTTGACTTTAGGGGTTTGTTGGTGACCATAGTGTGCAAAATAGAATGAAAAATTAAAAAACACCCCTAGTCTTATTGTCAAGAAAATTCAACTTTTAAGGGTATTTATACTATACAAATCTAATAATAAAAGACTTATTTACCTCTATTAAATCTGGTAATAGCAAATGTATCCCACTAAAAATATAATGCTATCGTTGCAAGTAAACCATAAAACTTAAACCACCAAGAGCAAAATGATAATTTTATTTTAGAAATCTACGGTAAATTGTGAGTGTGTGCATAATAAAAGACTAAACTCTTTTAATATTTTTTATAATAGGATTTTGAGCGCTTTTCTTGATCATCAATTAAAATTTTAGGAGGTACACGATAACAGTAACAAGCCTATCTAATGATGAGCATAGTTTTCAAAACTAGTTTAAGATCTGATATAATTTATAACTCACATCACTAAATTATTGGGTTAATATATGGATCACCTCATTAACTAGACATATTAATTTTTTTGAAAATACCAACATTCTAATTTTTTAATAAAAATATTCTTTGAAGTTGACTTTCATTCAAATTTAGCTAAGCCAATTGGATCGTGAATCAATTATTTAGGTCAATTAGGTCTAATTAGGTAAATATTCAAAATGGTTTAAATCAAAACACACCCAAATTAGGTTCCTGGTTATCAACTCTCTTGATTGACCTGTCCAGTCAGCTAAAGTTTAATAAGTATGATAAGGAGAAACTGGTAAAAAGACAATCTATGATTAGTAAAGAAAAATTATTATTGATCAAACAGCAAGAAATAAGACAAAAAAGACAAAAACTCAAATATACATAGCTTCAATCCCAAATTTGCAGATTACATAATTCGAAAACAACAAAAAGTCCAAATCGAAAGGAAAAAACAAAAACAATTAGTGAGACTAAACCAATGTTCAAGCCACTCTAATAGAAATCATTCAAGGAGCCGTCGTTTCAAAGATGGATAGTCCATCTATAAAAGTAAAAGAATAAGTCTATATATCTTCAGCAATAACTCCCGGTATACTTGGGATAATTGCTTCCTTAACCTCATGACATTTGTTTCCTTCTCTGTGTATAATTCTTCTTTCCTATTCTAATTGTAACTCTCATTGTAATCACTATATTAAGCATTGCTGTAATACAAGTAAATCATCTTTTCATAAAACCCTACATGGTATCAGAGCCGCCACGCTCCCATGAGCATTCATCACCTATTTTCATGGCAGAAACTCAAGGCAACGCAGCCACAACCACTGTTATTTCCAACCCTGCTATCATAACACCAAATTCATTGATTGCCATCAATGCTGCAGCACAATTGCCCCTCAAGCTCACGCCAATAAACTACTTAACATGGCATGCTCAGTTCAATGCCCTTCTTATTGGCTATGATCTTCTACAATATGTAGATGGCTCTTATCAGGAACTACCCAAATGTTTGCATGATGCACCTAATCCTGCTCATATGTTCTGGATTCACCAAGATCAGCTATGGCTACACTCCATCATCGCTTCTGTTTCAGAACAAATCATGCCACTCATTGCATCTGCAACAACCTCCTGTATGGCATGGGAGAAACTAAACACTCTTTATGCACACCGTTCAAGATCACGTGTAATGAGTCTCAAAGAACGACTCACTGCTACCACCCGTGGCTCCAGCTCTGTGGGTGAATTTCTTAATACTATGTGAAGCATATCTGATGAACTATCAATCATTGGTGAGCCTCCCAGTGATATTGATTTGGTAGTTCATGTTCTCAATGGTCTTGGTCCTACATTCAAAGAAATTGCTGCAGCCATTCGCGCACGTGACAACCCCATCAGCTTTGAAGATCTTCATGATAAACTTGTTGAATATGAAAACTTTCTCAAACGTGAAGAGGTGTGCTCTGTATCTCCTTCAATCACAGCTCGTGTCACTCAACGATTTGGCCAATCCAGCACCTCTACTCCTAGGCACTATCACAATAACAAAGTCTCTTCCAATAATCGTGGATATCAGTCATTCTCCAACTCCAATCATGGTTATCAAGGTGCATATCAGCCTCCACGAAAACATCCAGGCCAAGGGTACAAAGGATTCTATCAATTATGTGATCAACAAGGACATAGTGCCAAACGTTGTCCTCGAGTTCGCCCTTTTACCTCTACATCTCCTACTACCAATTACACCACCACTGCCTCTTCGAAGTCACCAAACTGGCTTCTTGATTCTGCAGCATCCCATCATGTCACCGATGACCTCACCAATCTCTCACTCACCTCGGCTTATGAAGGTTCGGATGCTATTGTTATAGGTGACGGTACAGGTTTGAAAATTACTCATGCTGGTCATGTAACTCTCCCAACTTCATCCAAAAACTTTGTCTTATCTAATTTTCTGTGTGTTCCTTCCATCAAGAAAAATTTACTTTCAGTTTATCAATTTTGCAAATCTAATAACACCTCAATTGAATTCTTTCCTACTTATTTTTTGGTGAAGGATCTCCGCACGAGGGCGACTCTCATTCGAGGCCAGAATAAAAATGATGTGTACGTGTGGCCTGAATCTTTATCTCCTCTGACATCATTCCATGCTTTTGTGGGTGTTAAAGCCCCACTGAGAGACTGGCATAGACGACTTGACCACCCCTCCTCTCGTATCCTGCATCACCTTATTACCTCCTGCACTCTTCCTCTATCTACATCCTCTAATAATATTATTTGTGACTCTTGTCTCTGTCATAAAAGCCAAAGGCTCCTTTTTCATGTATCCTCTCTTAAAAGTCATGGTCCATTAGATTTAATTTACACTGATGTTTGGGGCCAACTCCAATTACTTCTACCGAAGGTTATCAATTTTATGTCATTTTTGTTGATCATTTTACAAAATATATTTGGTTCTACCCTCTTTATCATAAATATGATGTTTCTCTTATTTTTCCTAAATTCAAAGTCATTGTTGAAAAATATTTTAAAAAATCAATTGTTTTCATATACTCCGATAATGGGGGTGAGTACATCAAACTTAAAGACTATTTTGCTACTCAAGGCATTAATCATCTCACTACTCCTCCCCACACTCCTTAACATAATAGGATTGTTGAACACCGTCATAGGCACATTGTGGATACAGGTCTCACAATGCTCCATCAAACCTCCCTCCCTCTTTCTTTATGGACCCATGCCTTTCAAGCTGCTATATTTCTCATTAATCATTTACCCACTCCCGTTCTTCAACTTAAATCCCCATTTGAATCTCTTTTTGGAAATTTGCCAAATTATCTCAAGCTTCGTGTCTTTGAGTGTTTGTGTTACCTATGGCTACGATCATATGCCAAACACAAACTTGACCCTCGCTCGCATCCCTGTGTCTTTCTTGGATATTCCCTCACCCAAAGTGCCTACAAGTGCTTTGATCCCACTACTCAATGATTATTTTATCTCCCGTTATGTCCGCTTTGTTGAAACTGCATTCCCATTTGCTGCCTCCTCTCATGCATGTCTCCCATCTCCTTCTTTACCCGCCTGGGCATTATCATTTGACATTCATTCCCCACCTCCAGTACCTCCCTCTCTCTCCACTTTTCCTCTCCTCTAGTCGGACATGCCAGTCCCCTCCTCTGCAGCACTCTCATCTCGTCAGCAGCAGGCCACCATGCACTCATGTCAGCCTTCGCCCCCATATACTGATCTCTCTTCAAGTCCTGCATACCCGTCCTTGCCATCACCATCACCATCACCATCCCCCACCCCACCACCTCCCTCACCCCTTATACCACATCACCCCATGATCACTCGTTCCAAAAACCATATCTTCAAACCCCGCCAGCTCAACCTCACCACCAAACATCCCTTACATGTTCCTCTTGAACCATCATGTGTGTCTCAAGCCCTTCAACACCCAGAATGGAGAGCTGCCATGTCAGCTGAGTTTACTACTTTAACCAGTAATGGCACCTGGAACTGGTCCCTCCTTCTCTGCATTAGAATCTGGTAGGCTGCAAGTGGGTCTTTCGGCTCAAAAGAAAACCAGACGGCTCCATTGACAGGTACAAAGCTCGCCTTGTAGCTAAAGGCTTTCATCAACATCCTGGTCTCGACTACACTGAGACGTTCAACCCTGTTGTCAAGCCTACTACCATTCGCATTGTTCTCTGTCCAGCTCTTCAGCATGGTTGGCCTATTACACAACTTGACGTTAACAATGCCTTCCTTCAAGGTTCTCTTTCTAAAGAAGTCTACATGGCTTAACCCCAAGGCTTAATTGATAATCAGCTGCCACACCATGTTTTTCGTCTCCGCAAGGTAATCTATGGCCTTAAACAAGCTCCCAGAGCTTGGTATAATGAGCTGGCCACGTTTCTTATCTTATAGAGCTTTGTCAACTCTAAAGCTGATACATCTCTGTTCATCTACAATCATGGTGGAATAATTGTCTACTTCTTGGTCTATGTTGATGACCTTCTTATCACTGGCAATAATGACAGGTTCTTGACTTCCTTTATTATTGCATTGTCCTCTCGGTTTTCTATCAAAGATATGGGTTCTCTCCATTACTTCCTTGGGGTTGAAGTATTGCCTACCTCCACTGGCCTCATCCTATCCCAACACAAATATATATATGATCTACTTGTCCACACCAACATGGCTGGTGCAAAGGAGGCAACCACCCACTTTCCACAACTACAAGTCTTACTATATCTGACGGTTCTGCCTCTATGGATGCTAGTGAATTTCGCAGTGTTGTTGGGTCTCTCCAATATCTCTCTCTCACTCGTCCAGACATAGCTTTCACAATGAATAAGCTCTCTCAGTTCATGCATAAACCTACTCAGCTTCATTGGCAAGCAGTCAAGCGTCGGTTACGCTACCTCAAAGGCACCATTCATCATGGCCTCTCCCTCACCCGTAGCACCTCCACTACATTATCTGCTTTCTCTGACTCTGATTGGGCAGGCAATCCTGATGACCGCACGTCCACCACTGCCTATATTTTGTTTTTGGGAGGTAATGTTGTCTCTTGGGCTTCTCGCAAGCAGCGTTCTGTTGCACGCTGTTCTACAGAAGCTGAATATCGGGCAGTTGCTGCTGAGTTATCTTGGGTTCAGCAACTCTTACATGAACTGCATGCCTCTCCTCCTGCTCCACCAACTATTTACTGTGACAATGTGGGAGCAACTTATCTTTGTGCCAATCCTGTGTTCCACTCTTGCATGAAACATATAGCTATTGACTTCCACTTTGTACGTGATCATGTCAGCCAAGGTCTACTTCGGGTCTCTCATGTTTCTACTACCGATCAGCTAGCCGATGCTCTAACCAAACCTCTCCCTCGCCAACGGTTTTCTCTTCTTTGGTCCAAGATTGGTGTCTCTGATGGAGGCACCATCTTGCAGGGGCGTATAAGAGTAAAAGAATAAGTCTACATATCTTCAGCAATAACTCCCCGTATACCTAGGATAATTGCTTCCTTAATCTCAGGACATTTGTTTCCTTCTCTATGTATAATTCTTCTTTCCTATTCTAATTGTAACTCTCATTGTAATCACTATATTAAGCATTGCTGTAATACAAGTAAATCATCTTTTCATAAAACCCTACACCATCCATGAAGGGTGCAATAGCTGGTGGCACACGCTGCTCTTTATTGTTATTGGCCCTTGACATTGTTGATGGCTTGACAAAAGAATGGGGATTAGACATTAGACATTAGACATTCAGGAGAAGTTGTCTTCTCCTGCACTCCTTCGGAAATTTCATTGAATGAAACTCCACAGGGAAGATTATGTGCCCTAACTCCTATTACCAAGTACACACTATTTTTGTAAGAAAAAAAAGAAAGAGTATATCCTAGATTTTCTTGTTGAGTTATGCTGATTTACCCTTCTAAGGAAGATATTATGTCACTGTTATAAGACTCGTTGATCCACCAAACTAGGGCTAGCCTCAAGTCAAGTGAGTGAAAAAACTCTCTTTTTTTTATTAAAACATTATTTTAGGATTATTTTTTAAGAAAAAATCAAAGTTTGAATTGAAGTATGCATTATGTTGATTTGTCATGCCATAGCTGAAGTTACTGTGTGGATTGATATCAAAGCAAAAAAGAAAGACACGGATATACATTGGCTAACCATCCACTTGGCCTAAATGGGATGATCTCCCTGTGGTTTTGGCACCAGCTGTGCAACACCATGTATTCACCAGAGAACAAAGCACCGGAGGCTAACAGTGTAATCCTGATTCTTGCTTATAGCATCATAAATAATTAGGAAATGATGCAAATTTGCCAAATTTGATATCATGGAGAATAGCTAGCAAGTTGACCAGAGGAGATCCCTAAGCCTAGGATTAAGTTGTTAATCTGAATTTAGATTGACCACCATGCTAAGTGAACTACTAATAATTATTCTCTTAATGAGGGTTTAAACTACAGAGACAGGGAGATTAGAGCTGAAATATACATGGGATCTTGGTTCTGATAAAATCAGGTAAATAACATGATTGTCATGATTTCCTAGCACACCCCCGCAACACCATAGCTTTGAGTATGGTTTTGAGAATTTAATCCATCAATTAATAAAAACTCAAAATTATTTCAAGTTGGTGATCATAGGAGACCCTTAAGCCTAGACAAGGAGATTAGAGCTGCTATGTACAGGGGATCTTGGCTCTGATAAAAGTAGCCGGATAACATGATCGCCATGATTACCTAGCACCCCCGCAACACCATAGCTTTGAGTATGTTTTGAGAATTTAATCCATCAATTAATAAAAACTCAAAATTATTTCAAGAAGATGAACAAAAAGAATATTCTAGTCATACATAGTATATTAGAATTACATTTTAACATTACAATCACCACTTCAGATGGATCAATCAAAGAATAATCCCTACCTTTTTCTTTCTCTACATATCCCTATAAATAAAGACACAACTTCATTGCGTCATGTCATCGAATCTCAATAGTTAACAATGGTCTCAAAGCAGTTGAGTCCATCGAGCTCTGGTGCAAACCTTGGCACCTTCTTCTCTTGTTTCCTAGCCAACGATCTCGAGGAGCTTCCATCTCGATTCTTGATCAACTTATCTTCTGCCACCTTGGTATTGCAATCCATGGTTGTAAGAGCGAGTGAAGACCTCACTTTTTGACCCAATAACTCAGCACACAAAGCATCAAAAGAACTGAACATAGAATTCATGGTCTCTTCAAGAAAATCTTGATCGCCCCAAATCTAAAGTAGTAGAAGACCCTTTGAAAGCTAGAGAGGAATATTATAGTTTGCTTTTCTTGTTGTGTTTAGGTATTTGACGAAGAGCAATTTCAAGAGAAACTATATATAAGGAAGGAACCTTGACATCCTTTGGCGAGTGGGAAGCCTTTTTAACTTCCAAGTTGTTTCCTTTTCGCTGTGGGAATGGGTTGGGGCTGAAAGGCGTGTAAGGGAGACCTAAGGACAGCTTCTTGTGGGGTAGCTGCTAGCCTGCTAGGGGAGACCAACTGACCATGTTCAACGATCAAAGGCGCGTGTCTTGTCAAAGCATGTTTTTTTTATTTATGTGTGTCCGCGCCAACTTACACACACCATAATTAATTTCCACTCTTCTTCATGTTTACTTATCAGGAAGTGGAGATGTTAGGCTCAAATCTCAAGTCTCAAATTATCTTTTGACTTGAAAAATATAAAAGATGAAAATATGCTCTTGCCACTTTGATTGGTCGAGGATTAGTTTGTTCATTAATTATATTATTGTTGTTGTTCTTTGGACATCATTGTTGACAAGTTACCATAGTTTTAAAACCATGGCTGACTCGGGATAAATCTAAGATAATGGATTTACATGAATGAATTAACTTCGATTAATATTTTTTTATTTTATAAGAAAACATATGTTGATATTATTTTGAAAAATAAATTTAAAAAAACAGAAAAATCAATGAATTTTAATCAGGTTTTTATAATGTTTTTCTTGAGTTAACCAAGTCTCTAGTTTATCCAAGTTTTTTTTTTAATTAAAAATAAAGATAATTTTCTTTTTAATTTTTTCAAAACCAGCCTGTCTGAGACCTAGCACACACATTAATTCATCAATAATGATGCTGCGTAGGGTTCGGTAAATTTATATTTTATTCGTATTTTCGTGATACTTATCAATAATTATATTCATATATTTATTGATATGATAATTAATATATTAATTTTATATTATAATATTAACAAATTTGCACTCATGACGTCTTGAAATATCTATGTCAAAATTGCATTGTTTTAGAATCGACATCTTTAAACATTATCATTTTTTTTGTTAACAGCTTTTAGTATTCGTGAGACAACGTTTCTTCATTGAAATTATTTGTTTTCCTAAATCCTTAGCAAATCATGTTCGTTGGTCGCTTGTCGGTCCAAGATATCCTTTGCTTGGTATTTGGAAAGCTTAAATGATCTAGGACAAATGATGGCATGTATGAGCTCGATCGGTTGGTAGGTTGCAAGAATTTAGAGAATCAATAATAAGGTCAAATTAACTTCAAATGGAAAAATAAAAATAGTATCATATATGAAGTCTAACTACAATTTAATCTTTGATTTTTTAAAATTTTAATTTTTGATGTTAAGCTCAAGTTGGATTTTCAAACTTAATTTTTTACCAATTAAATCTAAAAGGCGCGTGTCTTGTCAAAGCATGTTTTGTTTTCATTCACGTGGAGGTGTCCGGGCCAGTCTCAAATTATCTTTTGACTTGAAAAATATAAAAGATGAAAATATGCTCTTGCCACTTTGATTGGTCGAGGATTAGTTTGTTCATTAATTATATTATTGTTGTTGTTCTTTGGACATCATTGTTGACAAGTTACCATAGTTTTAAAACCATGGCTGACTCGGGATAAATCTAAGATAATGGATTTACATGAATGAATTAACTTCGATTAATATTTTTTTATTTTATAAGAAAACATATGTTGATATTATTTTGAAAAATAAATTTAAAAAAACAGAAAAATCAATGAATTTTAATCAGGTTTTTATAATGTTTTTCTTGAGTTAACCAAGTCTCTAGTTTATCCAAGTTTTTTTTTAATTAAAAATAAAGATAATTTTCTTTTTAATTTTTTCAAAACCAGCCTGTCTGAGACCTAGCACACACATTAATTCATCAATAATGATGCTGCGTAGGGTTCGGTAAATTTATATTTTATTCGTATTTTCGTGATACTTATCAATAATTATATTCATATATTTATTGATATGATAATTAATATATTAATTTTATATTATAATATTAACAAATTTGCACTCATGACGTCTTGAAATATCTATGTCAAAATTGCATTGTTTTAGAATCGACATCTTTAAACATTATCATTTTTTTTGTTAACAGCTTTTAGTATTCGTGAGACAACGTTTCTTCATTGAAATTATTTGTTTTCCTAAATCCTTAGCAAATCATGTTCGTTGGTCGCTTGTCGGTCCAAGATATCCTTTGCTTGGTATTTGGAAAGCTTAAATGATCTAGGACAAATGATGGCATGTATGAGCTCGATCGGTTGGTAGGTTGCAAGAATTTAGAGAATCAATAATAAGGTCAAATTAACTTCAAATGGAAAAATAAAAATAGTATCATATATGAAGTCTAACTACAATTTAATCTTTGATTTTTTAAAATTTTAATTTTTGATGTTAAGCTCAAGTTGGATTTTCAAACTTAATTTTTTACCAATTAAATCTATAATAAAATTAATTTAATTCATTTAAAGTATAATTAATTCTTTCATTTAATTAAATCTTTCAATTGACTCAAATTAATTCTTAAATATAATTAAATTTTAATCTATTGCATGATTAAATAAATTAACATATTAAAATTCTAATTATGTCCTTATACTTAATTTTTATTTAAAGTTATTCAATAATGATTTAGTTTAACTTTGAATCTGCATTGTTTCTTCTATTTTTGGTAAAATAGGGTATAATTAGAGTTTCAGTTCTATCCAAAATTACAAATTAATTTTTTTTTATTTGAAGTCCTCCCAATTTGCTTTTTCTAAATAATAATTTTGATTTTTTATTTTGAAAAGAAAGAAAATTTTGGGAAATAACCCATAAATAGATTATGACATCCCGGGTAACCCTTGGCTTAAACTGACCTAAATTTCAAAAGAAATTGAAGGAGAATTGATGTAATATAAGACCAAGTTGACCTATGCTTCGGATAACCTAGGAAAAATCCAGTCAAAACCAATTAACTATTTTTTTTTTAAAATAGTATTATTTTGATTTTTTTATGAAAAAATATTCCATTGACTTAAGTTAATTCAAGTCAACCCACTCAACCTGTCACCTAAAATTGACTTTTAGGTAGGCCATAGAAACAACTATGAGAATAAGGACCTCGTTTGAAAAAGAAAATTGAGAGGATAAGCACAAATTTTGAATTGAAGGGAAATATTGAAAAAAATAATCAAATAAACAAATTATTCCAAAATAAAAAAATAAAAATTAAGATTATGAATTTAAGAATGAAATTGAAAATAAATTAAAATATGATAAAAGGCTAAGAATTAAAATTAGAAATCAAATCATTAAATTCAAACCATAATTATCATCAAATGTTAAATTGAAAGGAAAAATTAAAAAGAAAAATTAAATTCACAAGAGAATCCAAAACAAAAATCAAAATCAAAAGAATGAAAATAAGAATGAGGACCAAATATTAAAAAAAAATTCATGAATCTAATGATGAAATTAAAAAGAAATTAAAATTCTATGAAAGAGTCTAGAATTGAAATTAGAATTCAAAATATCAAGATTCAAACTTAAAACATCATAAAATAATATGATAAATTAATAAAAAAATAAAATGACAAAGAATCAAATTAAAAATAAAATAAATAAAACTATACAAACAAACAATAGACCAAATGTGATTAATCTAACAAATCACACAACTTTTCTATTTTTTTTTATCAAAAGTCATCCGATAATGTGATGTTCGGCTACTAAGAGGTATTACAAGCATCATCTAAAAAACCTAGGCACCTCCTACTTGTTTGTCTTTTCAAAACACATGCCAATAACTTTTTTTTTAATTTTATTTATGCAAATACTAAATTGTCCTTTACCCACACAATATTAATAGAAAAATATGATAAAAAGAATAAAAATCCCTCAAGCTTAGCTATAAATTATTTGACTTTAAGGATACGTTGGTGACTATACATTGCAAAGAAAAAATGAAAAATAAAATACACCCCTGCTTTTACTGTGAAGAAAATTCAACTTTTGAAGATATTTTAAATATTATACTATACAAATCTAATAGTAAAAAACTCATTTACCCTAATGAATTTTGTAATAACAAATTTGTCTCATTTAAAATACAATGCTAACCTTGCAAGCAAACTATAAAACTTAAACCACTAAGGGCAAAATGGTAACCTTAATTTAGAAATCCATAATAAATTGTGAGTGTCTACACAATGATTTAGTATTTTTTTCAGTAATAGGATTTTAAACTGTTTTCTTGAGCCACAACTAAAATTCTAAGACTTTACCAAGTACACAATAATAATAACAAGACTTATCTAATGAGGAGAATAGTTTTAGAATTCATTTAAGATATGACATGATTTAGAACTCGTATCATTAAATTATTGAGTTAATATATGAATCATGGTTAACTAGATAAATTTTTTTTTATATAAAACAACAAAGTTTTATTTTTTTAATAAAAGTATTTTTTGAAGTTATCTTAATAGGTCTTATTTGAATTTAATTGAACCAATCAGATTTTGAATCAATTTTTCAAATCAAATAAATTTAATCAGGTCAATATTCAAAATAATTTGAATCCAAATCCATTCAGATCAGGTTTATTATCATTAGCTCTCTAGTCTGCCAAAGTTTAACAAGTATGATAAGGAGTGACTGGGTAATAAAACAATCTACCAACTGTGATGAGTAAAGAAAAATTATTATTGATTAACCAACAAGACTTAAAAAAAAACAATAAAACAAAAACTCAAATATGCATAGCTTCAATCCCCAAGCTGAAAATTACACAATTCAAAAACAACTAAAATCCCAGATCGAAAGGAAAAAACAAAAACAATTAGTGAAACTAAAACAATGTTCAAGCCACTCTAATAGAAATCATTCGAAGGGCCATCATTTTAAAGATGGATAGTCAATCCATGAAGGGTGCGAGAGCTGGTGGCACACACTGCTCTTTTTTTTTTTTTTAGATTGGCGTGGGTGTCCAGGCCAGCTTGCGCGCACCACGACTAATCCCACGGGTCCTGAAGTTAACGACCATGTAAGTCTCCAGTGGCTATCATATGAGCAACTAAAGATTCAAACCTGAAAGGTAAGTCTCCAATGGCTATCATATGAGCAATTAAAGATTCAAACCTGAAACCATAGAGGGAGCAAACCCTTTGATTCCAAACTCTTACCACTTGACCACCACCTAAATGGTTAGCACACGCTGCTGTTTATTATTATTGGCCCTTGACATCGTTGATGGCATATTATCACCATTATTCTCGTTCTTCTTGCTAGCACACAACATTGTGTCACAAAAAGCTATAGATCAATAGTAGAGTATTTGTAACAAAAATTCAGTGAGTGACAAAAGAATGGGATTTGATATTAGACAGTCAGGAGAAAAAAGTTGTCTTCTTCAGAAATTTCATTGAATGAAACTCCACAGTTAAAATTATGTGCCCTAACTCCTTTTAGCAAGTACACACTAAATTTTGTAAGAAAAAAAAAAGAAGAGTATATCCTAAATTTTCTTGCTATGTTGATTTACCTTGATCTAAGGAAGATATTATGTTACTGTTATAAGATTCGTTGATCCACCAAACTAGGGCTAGCCTCAAGTGAAATGAGTGAAAAAAAGTCATTTTTTTAATTAAAACATTATTTTAGGATTTAAAAAAAAAAAAAATCAAAGCTTGCATTCAACTAAGTGAATTCACCAAACTTGCAAGCTGGACTTGAATCAGGTCGGCTCTTATATCTATGCAGTGTGTTGGTTTGTGACGCCTTAGCTGAAGTTACCGTGTGGATTGATATCAAAGCAAGAAAGAAAAACACATATACATGGGCTAACGATCCACTTGGCCTAAATTGGGATATCTCTCTATGGTTTTGGCACCAACTGTGCATTGCCATGTATTCACCAGACTGATATCATGGAGAATAGCTAGCAAGTTGGAGCCTGGGTGGTTTGCAAGTTGATGACCACAGAAGATCCTTAAGCCTAGGATTAAGTTGTTAATGTGAATTTAGATTGACCACCATGCTAAGTGTATTGCTTGTAATTGTTCTCTTAATGAGGGTTTAAACTACTGAGACAGGGAGATTAGAGCTGCTATATACAGGGGATCTTTGCTCTGATAGAAGTATCTGAATAACATGATTGCCATGATTACCTAGCACCCCCGCAACACCATAGCTTTGAGTATGGTTTTGAGAATTTAATCCATCAATTAATAAAATTAAAATTATTTCAAGAAGATGAACAAAAAGAATATTCTAGTCTTATAAAAGTATATTAGAATTAGATATTAACATTACCATCACCACTTGAGATGGATCAATCAAAGAATAATGCCTACCTTTTTCTTTCTCTACATATCCTTATAAATAAAAACACAACTTCATTGTGTCATGTCATCGAATCTCAACATTTAACAATGGTCTCGAAGCAGTTGAGTCCATCCAGCTCTGGTGCAAACCTTGGCACCTTCTTCTCTTGTTTCCTAGCCAACGATCTCGAGGATGTTCCCTCTCGATTCTTGATCAGCTTATCTTCAGCCACCATGCTATTATCACCAGCAGTCAAAACCCTCTTGGTATTGCAATCCATGGTTGTAAGAGCGAGTGAAGACCTCACTTTTTGACCCAATAACTCAGCACACAAAGCATCAAAAGAACTGAACATAGAATTCATGGTCTCTTCAAGAAAATCTTGACCGCCCCAAATCTCAAGTGGTAGAAGACCCTTTGAAAGCTAGAGAGGAAGATTCTAGTTTGCTTTTCTTGCTGTGTTCAGGTATTTGACGAGGAGCAATTTCAAGTAAAACTATATACAAGGAAGGAACCTTGATATCCTTTGGAGAGTGGGAAGCCTTTCAACTTCCATGTTGTTTCCTTTTCGCTGTAGGAATGGGTGGGGGCTCATAGGCGTGTAAGAGAGAGGTAAGGACCGCTTGTTGTGGGGTAGCTGCCAGGGGAGACCAGCTGACCATGTTCCACGATCAAAGGTGCGTGTCTTGTCGAAGTATGTTTACTTGCTTGGAAGTGGAGATAATAAGGCCCGTTGGACGGAAAGTTAGAAAATTACTTTTTAATGTTTTTAGTTTATCATTAGAAAGATGGTTAGTATAAAATATTTTTTAATTTAAAAATAATTTAATTTAATTTTAAAAAATATTTTACTTTTATTTTGAATGAAAAATCTTTTTTAGAAATTATAAAAAATTTAAAAATATCATATTATTTATTAATTACATAAAATTTGATTCTCAAATTATATATATATATATATATATATATATATATATATATATTAATTTCATCCCTTAAAATTTAATTTTTATATTAATTTTATTCTTTATTTTTATAAATCTATCAAATATAATTTTTATTATTTTGATTGTTACTTATTTTATTTAAAATAATTTATAAAATTATAATTATAATTATTTTAATTTTATTATCTTTCAATTTTCTTATTTGTTAAATTTTATTTTTATTATTATTATTTATTTTATTTGAGATAATTTATGAATTTTTTTAATTTATTTTTATTTAACTTTTTAATCTGTAAAATTTGTTTTTTATTATTTTAATAAATTTAAAAAAAATTATTAATAAATTATTTTTGATAGCATAACTAAATATTAAAAAATATTTTATAGACCTGGAATACACATTAATTCACCAATAATAATGATGGGTAGAGTAAGGTAAATTTATATTTTATTTGTATGCACGTGATACATATCAATAATTATGTTCACATATTTATTGATATGATAATTAATATATTGATTTTATACTATCATATTAACAACTTGAAATATCTATGTCAGAACTGTAGTGTTCCAGAATCTACATCTTTAAACATTATCATTTTTTCTATTAACAGCTTTTAGTATTCGTGAGACAGCTTTTCTTCATTGAAATTGTTTTTTCCCTAAATCCTTAGCAAATCATGTTCGTTTGTTGATTGTCGGTGCAAGATATCCTTTGCTTGGTTTTTGGAAAGGTTATATGATCTAGGACAAATGATGGCATAGATCAGCTCGGTTGGTGGGTTGCAAGAATTTAGAGAATTAAAAATAAGATCAAATTAACTTTCAATGGAAAAAAAATAGTATCATATATGAAGAAAATGTAAGAGATTTCATCCTACAGAATTGGAAAAGATTGAATTCCTAAAAAGTTCAAATAATTTAAAAATAAAGTTTATATGTTGAATATTAATAGATTAATCTATTAATGTTCTAGTAATCTGATTTATTTTTTTCTAGTTAATGTGGCAAATACTTATAAAAAATCTTCATACTAAATAAATATCTTTTTAAATAAAAAAAATATAATTATATTTTAAAGAGATAGATTTTTAAAATATATATATTAAAAATATTTATTTAATTAATATAAAATGTTAAATGATCGGCATGAAAGTCCTTAAAAATGGCATGAAAGTCCTTAAAAATTGCTGAAGAAATATTGGACTCAAGCAAATTGACTTAAAATAAATTTAAGTGCGTTGTCCAAGACCTATGGGTTCTAGGCAAGATTCATTTTTTTTAGGTTATCAAGGGTTTTGAGTCCATTAAATTTGGATTTATCAATAAACATTTAATTTTTTATAATTTTAATATCTAAAAATTTATAAAAATATTTAATTATTATAATAAGTTCATTGAATTTTCTTTCAAGAAGAGAGGTAGAAATCTTAAGTAATATACTGAAGAGTCGATGTATAGAGGTATACAGTAAGGTGAAACTAGGAAGGAATTCATACTTGGAAAATGTTTCTCGTGGCTAGGAGGAACTCAGTGGAGGAAACCAATCGAGGAACTCATCCCATTTGAGGAACTCAATGGAGAAAACACAATTAAAGAACTTATACCATTGAAGGGACTTAATGAAGAGAACTAATTCCATTGGACGAACTCAGTAGAGGAAACCCAATGAAGAAACTTATTTGTGAAAAGGCATGTGACTGGCGAGTTCAAGAAGAAATATAAGCATAAGTTTTAACTTATGTTGTCTTGATTGAATTTTGTGTGGTTGTCTTGATTGGCTTTGTGACATGGAAGTTACTAATTTATTTTTGTTTTTTTCAAGCTATATATGGTGAATTGTGTCATGTCGTCGTGTTATGAAAGTAGTAAGCTTAACATTTTCAAGCAACAACCATGATCAGTGTTCCACTTACTCTTCCATCATTTTGGTCATCAATGGCTGATTATTAATATTGTGATTGTTTTGATTGTTAGAACTAATTTTCAAGCATCATGCATCCTGATGATCATCTTCTTGAAATTTCAATACTGTAGTAGGATTTGTTTTGCTTCTTTTGCAATATTGTTGCATGTTTTCTTACAAGTATGTCAATAGGAACAAATGGACAGAGACATTATTGTTGATCTAGACCGAGTTTCGAATTTTTTATTATCATTTTATTGTACCAAATATTGAACATAAAGAAATTCTAGAAGTATAAAATCTCAGTGTTTTTGTTTATATATAATTTTCAAGACTAGTTGGGACTTCCTAATATATGGGATTGGGATGGATCATTAGAGATTGTTTACCATCGATCAAACAATTTAAAACTTTGTACAAAATAAGGAATTTACCCTTCTATTATCTTTATCTAGTTATTATTCTTTTATGTTGATTCCCTTTTTTTATGCTGGTTGTGAGATGCTAAAAAAAACACCGATGAAATATTCTTTTTATTAGCGATTTCATCAATGTTTGTTCCGTCAGCACTTTCTGATGCTATCGGATTGTTTGACAAAAAATGGATTGTAAAAGCTTATTTTGACAACAAAATATTCTGCCAATGATTCTGTCGGAATTAGAAACCATGACGATATAAAATCACCAATGATTAACTCTTTGATGACAATATTCTGCTGGCAATTTTGTCGGGAAATTCCAATACCAACGAAATATTCCATTGTCATTCTTCAATTTTTAGGATGTGGAAAGAAAGCAAAAAAAAAAGGTCTGTGGGGAACGTTTGAGGAGGGTTGTTTCATTGATATCCTTTGTAGCGTTATACAAGATATTTCTATCAGAACTTGTTGGTATTGAAATATTCCTTCCTACTTCTCAATTTCATCATGGACAGGGTTCATACTAAGCTAGCAACTTGGAAATGGAGAATGTTGAATAGGGTAAAAAGAGGGCGTCACACTTGTTAAATCGATGATTAATGGAATCCCCATATGGTATTGATAAAATCATTCTAGATTTCATTTAGAGCAGCTCTGACACAGGTCGTGGTTTCAATCTTATGAATTGGGATGCTATTTAACGCCCAAAAAAGAATGGTGGGATGGGAATCAGAGGTATGAGGCTGGCCACTATGGCTTTGCTAGGTAAGCAAGTGTGGCAGCTTTTGTAGTGGTAGAGAGAAACCATGGGTCAGCACTCAGCATCCCGAGGCATAAACACTTGAGGGTCTCAAACCTGCTCCAAAGATCAACTCCCTACACTAATGCCTCAGATACGAGGGAATGCTATATTTAAAGCCTTCATTCACCTACGTGATGGCTTCTCGTACAGGGATGAGAAGGGGGAGCTTTTCTTTTGGTTTGGTAAGTGGCTGGATGTGGATTCGGTTGGTTCACAGGTTGATGTTCTTCACATCAGTAACTCCGAGTTGAAGTACAAGATCTGTGGCAAAATGCCTACTGGAACTTTAGAAACCTGATAACAGTGCTTATAGAAAGGGTCAAACACCTTATCGTGGTTGTCCTTATTCCAGCTGCTCCTCGTCCAGATGACAGGATTATTCGGGAGGTTAATGATGTTGGTGTTTACAATTCTAAGTTTGCCTTTCATTGGCTACTGGACAGATCTACAACGCTGCAAGGAAATCCAATTTGGATCTTGGTTTGGAAGATAAAAGCTTATGAGAAAGTTCGGATGATGGTTTGACAGATTATTCATGATTGTCTTCCTACAAATCTTTTACACTACAAACAACACATTGCTAGAATCATATGGACACTTGCTTCCATCTATGGCTGCTGCAACCAGGAAGAGGAAAGTGTTTTGCATTGCCTGTAGGACTATCACTTTTTTGTAATCATATGGATAAATATGGGAATAGTAAATGCTCACGGGTTTCAGAACACAAATGTTATGGAATTGTGTAGACATATAGTTTCTTCTAATGATTCGTTCCTTTTTCTTTCAGGTATTTAGTGGATTGGGAGCTGTAGAAACATCATTGCTTTTGAGCAGTGCTGTAACTCAATTTTATCTCATTGATTTTTAATTTAATTTTATAGGGTTTAAAATATATAATTAAAAGATCAAATATTTATTTGGAAGAAAAGTGTGATTTGTCTACTTGCATCAAAATTAGGAATTACAATGTGCCTTTATCATTCTATTCTTATCTTCAAGATAATCCTTATCTTTTTCAAGATAATCCTTACCTTCAAGCTAATCCTTATCTTTTTCAAGATAATCCTTACCTTCAAGCTAATCCTTATCTTTTTCAAGATAATCCTTACCTTCAAGCTAATCCTTACCTTTTTCAAGATAATCCTTAAGATAATGATAATTGTTTACTTTCGAATTCGATTCTAATTTGAACTTCAAAAAAAAGAATGAGTTTGAATGAAACTTTACTTTTTGCAAGCGATGAGACTCTTGCACTATAAATATTGATCTCAGTATACAAAAAAAAGGAAATTAGAGGGGGGGAGGACAATTAGAGAGAAACCCTGAAAAAAAAAAAGACCCCAAGAGAAGGCCATTACTAAAAACCCTAAAAGAGAGAAACATAAAAAAAGGGGGGCGGCAAACCCTATATTAGCCGTCGCCCCCTCGAACCCTCTATTGTTTAGTCTGGTCTCCCTCAACTGCTCTTCCAGCAGCTG